GCCTTTTCCGCCTCCGGGACTTTTCTCTTCTCCGGATTCTGCAGCGCCTCCTTCACGAGGGCCTCCGCCTCTGCAGCTCGCTGGGCCTCTTCTGCTGCTGTCTTTCCCTCCTCCGCCTGCGCCCCAGCGGGGGGCCCCTGCCCCTCAGTACCCTTGGGGGTCCCCAGGCCCGCGCAGCTCTGGCTCACAGCCTCAATGAGCCCCTCTGCGTTGTCCGCGTTGCGCAGCAAGTGCTGCAGGACCAGCTGCCGGTGGGAGTGTTGGTGCTGGTGTTCGATGACGTGGAGGTCTTCGAGATACTTGAGTCCTTCTTCCAAAAGGGACTTCGCCGCTGCAGACGCGAGTTCCCCCTGGGGAGCCCCCGGGGGGGCCCCCCTGGGGGGCCCCCGAAGGGCCCCCTGGGGCGCCCCCTGGGGGGCCCCCCCAGCCAGTATACCCCTCAGGTCCACCCCCGTTGTCCCCGTGTGCACGCAGTCGCTCGAGTGCTGCAGTCCCCGCGTGTGGCCCTCCAGCCACCGCAGCAAAAAGGCAGCCCCCAGCGCCTGAGCAATCACGCACGCATCTGCAGCAGCTCCTGGCCGTGGACAGAGAGGACCAGAAGCACCAGAAGCCCCTCTAAGGGCCCCTTCAGGGGCCCCTAGAGGGGCCCTTTAAGGGGCCCCTTAGGGGGCCCCCGCGGTACCTTTTAGGGAGTTATCGCGGACCATATTTGCGGCCAAGCTACGCACTGGGCCTCATTTCCCCGCTGCTGATACCCCCGTTTCTACATGGAGCCCCATAGGGGCCCCACTGGTTCTACTTATTTGCTTCTGCTGAGACCCCTGTTTCTGCATGGGGCCCCATGGGGGCTACTTTTGTTCTATTTATTTGCTTCTGCTCCTCTTTGAAGTGCACTTTTGCTGCTAGTTGAGCTTTTCTGTTTGCTGCCAGTCTTACGTCTCTGCGGAATTTCTCAGCGACTTTCCAGGCCCAAGTGTCGAGCTCCTGTTTGCTGTCGGGCTCGTCTTGGGTGTCTGCCTGCTTGGAGCCGAGGTCAGCAGCAACAGCAACAGCAGCAGCAGCAGCAGCAGCAGCAGCAGCGCCTCTGTCCCCGGCCCAGAGCGCATGCACCAGCGGCCACAGAGGCACTGAGCCCCGCTTCCAGTCCCGGGCAAGTGCAGCCACGGGGCCCTCCACTTTGGGGCTTGGCACTGCCAAGGGGGAAGCTGCAGTCTCAGGTTTGGCCACAGCCATTAGCCGGGCCACTTCTTCGCTTCGGGGCAGCACTTGTCTTCTTGCTGCTAAGGCATTCAGCAGCCACAGGGCTCTCGCGCTGCTCAGCCCCTCCCGCTGCAGCTGCTGCAGCAGCGGCGTCTGCGGGCTCCGGCCTGCGTACCGCTGCGCCTGCGCCCCGCACACCCAGAAGCTGCAGCGCAGCTGCAGCAACTCTGCAGCAGCACCACTGCTCCCTGCTCCCTGCCCTTGCTGCTCCTGCAGCTGCGGGCCCTCCCGCCGCGTCTCACTGCGAATGCGACGCCTCTACGCGGCTACCCGCAGCAGCACCAGGCCAGCCGCCAGCAACAGCAGCAGCAGCAGCAGCAGCAACAGCAGCAGCAGCAGCAGCAGCAGCAGGAGTCCTGCGCCTCACCGTGCAGGTTTCGAGCGCCGCGAGCACCTTGTCGCGTTCCTCGGGCCTCGCGGCCTGCAGCATCTGCTGCGTCTCTGCGGCAGTGAGGCTGAGAGCCGCACTGACGCTGCCGGAGGCCCCTATGGGTACAGCTGTGCGGACATCACTGAGAGGAAGGCCCTCAGGGGCCCCCTCAGGGGCCCCCTCAGGGGCCCCCTCGGGGAACCCCGCAGGGCGCTGGGGAGCTGCTGCAGTGGGGGCTGCGGGACTGATCGAAAGGACTTCAAGGAGGGGCCTCTGGCACCCCAAAGCTAGCGCAGGGTCCCCGGGGCCCCCCTCTAAAGGGCATATGGAAGTGGCCAGCGCCAGCTGCAGCAGCTCGCCGTCCTGCAGCCCCACGTAGAAGGGCCAGCCATTGGCCTCTGCAGTTCTCCTGATGGCCTCCCACCTGCTCACGGCGCTGCAGCAGGGGGACCCCGGCCCCTTGCCGGGGGCCCCCCGACCCGCCCCGGGGGTCCCCCTCTCCATACCCTCCAGCGGGGGAATCCCCGGGGGCAAGAAGGCCAGCGGGGGCAGCGCTGCGTCCTTATAAATGGCAAACATGGAACTGAGGAGGGAAGAAGCTGCAGACACACTCGAAGCCGCACACGCCCGCGAAAACCTTATTTAGCCGCAGGGCTGCTGCTGGGCTGCTGCTGGGCTGCTGCTGCTGCTGCTGCTGTTGCTGCTGCTGTTGCTGCTGTTGCAGCCGCTTCTGCTGGTGGTACGTATAGGAGGACTTTGCAGCTATCTGCGGCTGCGAAGTCATAGTGACTGCAGTCGAGGCACAGGACTCTACAGACAAGTCCATTTGAATGCACAATTGGCAAATATAAAACGCACGGGTTACTGTGGGACTGCACAGATGCACTTGTGCATTAAAGAACAAGTAGCTGAGCAAGTGCATAAATGCATAAGTGAAGTCCAGTGCACACATGCAGATATGCCTGCATACATATAAATGCTAGCCTATATATATATATGTATATATATATAACCTATATACACATATGTACAAATACTAAAGGCACAGGCAAAGAGGCACATTCTGCAGAAAGATATACATGCATGTAGGCGCTTATCTATGCAATGTCATACACTTACAGGCACGCGCGTCCCTACACATACGCATGCGCATTAAAAGTATGCATATATATATATATATACCTACATACATATACATATATACATAGATATATGTATAAATGTATAATATATATGTATATATATATAATATATATAATATATATATATATATATATTACGCAGTTGCCACCCAGTAAGCCTTCGGGCACAAGTTCAGCAGAAAGCGGGGAAGGTGATTCTGATGTGTTGGAGGCAAAGAGAGCAGAAGCCCAGGCGGGTCTGCAGGCCGGTTAACACAGTGCAGCATTTGAAAGCCCAAGTGCAGAAAATGGTGCAAAATAAATGAAAAAAATGAAGAAAAAAATGCATTTTCAAGGTCTTGGTCTTCACAAGCAGCTTCATTGAAGTCTGCATCTTTTATAAAGCAAGAAGCTCTCTAGAGAAGACCAAAGAAAGCCACGAAAAGATTTCTGGAGCTTCGAGCACTCCTGCCCACATACGAAAGCACTCTGCACGATTTTCCATGCGTGCACACACAGGCGTGTCAAGCGCCATCAGAGAAGACAGCATTTTTGGTGCATGCATGCACACAGAAGAGGCCACAAGAGGCTGCAGCGGCTGAGTCAGAAGGCCTGGGAAAGCTGCTGCGCCCAAGTCAAAATGCCCACAAGAACTGCAGCAAATGCGCACAAGGCCCTTTGCTGCGGCCACAGGCTTACCCAGTAAAGGCAGCTGCTGGATGTCAGGGTGAATGTGAAGGGCCCACTCCGCCCTCAAACTGCCATCATAGTCTTCTCGAGTAATCCTCAGAGAAGCAGCAGCGGGGGCGTTGAGGCCCCTGGAGATCCGCAGCTTCACAGACTCCGGCAGGGCCCTCCCGAAGCAGTTAACTAGGAAAAATGCGTACAGACGAGCAGCAGCAGCAGCAAGCGCGCTGGGGGTCGCCAGGATGGCGCCCTCCCCGCCCTCAGACGCAGCCTGGGGGCCCCCCGGCGTGGACATCAAGTCCGAGAAAGAAGGAAATGGAATGGGGGCCCCCACCTGGTCCACGGGGGCTGGCGCGGCGAGGCCTAGAGGGGCCCTCTGGGGGCCCCCGGGGGCCCCCGGCAGCTGTAGGGTCTTCCGCATGGTGTGAAAGAGGTCTCGCAGAAACATCTGGGCTTCCACAAAAGTCCTCACTGCAGCTTCTTCATCATCTGCGGGGGGGGGCCCCTCAGGCTCCGGGGCCAGCCGCCGCGCGTGAAGGGCAGTGCCCCCCAAAATTGAGCCTTCTAGGGTCTCGGTGACAGCCTGCGAAGCAGCAGCAACAAATAGCCTTGCTGCACAGTGGCAGCTCTAACGCATTTGCTGCTGTTGCTGCTGCTGCTGTTGCTGCTGTTGCTGCTGGGAGCATTTGGGGAGGTCTCGTACCACCAGCAGTCGCCTCTCGATCGTGTTCAGAAGCATCAAGAACTCTTCTCGCTGCTGCAGCAGCTGTTCCCGCGAGAGCTTTCTGAGATGCCCCCCTCTGCTGCTGCTGCTGCTGCTGCTGCTGCTGCTTTCCTGGCTGAACTCTGCTGCTGAGGGCAAGTCCAGCGCCGCCGCCAAACTGCGGGCCTGCTCATTCAGCTGAGCCATCAAAGGAGCCACAACACGGGCCCCAGCTTCGACTCCATTGAGAGTGAGGGCCTCAATGAAGGCCGGGATGGCCAGCAGAGCAGCAGCGCTGGTGCAGTCTGCCTCGCGGGGGCCCCCGAAGGGGCCCCCCAGCAGGCCTGGGGGGCCCCCCGGGGGGCCGCGCAGGGGCCCTCCCTGGCCCCAATCCCCCGCCCGCTGCAGCTGCTCGTCCAGCTTGTCCAGCTCGGGGGGCTTGAGGTCAAGCGACAGCAAAAAGCCTTCCAGCAGCGCTGCTGCTTCTTCGCAGTTTGCTGCTGCACCACTTTGCTGCAGCGCCTGGAACACAGAGCTGAGGTCCCTGCAGCACACAAGCCCCAAACGCCAAGCCCGAGCCCTCAGCCTCAAACCCTTGTGGCTCTTGTGCTGCAACTGGGGAGCTCCTGGGAAGCAGCGAGGGCCCTAGGAAGCAGCAGGGGCCCCTGGGAAGCAGCGGGGGCCCCTGGGAAGCAGCGGGGGCCCCTGGGAAGCAGCGGGGGCCCCTGGGAAGCAGCGGGGGCCCCTGGACCCAGGCAGCACTCACAGCCTTGTGCAGGGGGCCCCCAGCCAGCTCGAGAGCAGCCGCCGCTGCGACAAAGACAACTGGTGGGGCAAGGGGGGCCCCCATCCGGGGCCGCGGTCAGCAGCAGCTTCCATCCAGGCCCTGAGGGGGGCCCCCAGGGGAAGCAGCCACAAAGGGTTAGCCCTGCGGGCCCGGAGGCCCCCGCTGGGGCCCCCCCTTGGGGCCCCCCTTGGGGCCCCACTAGGGTAAGCCTCGAAGACGGTCTGCAGCAGCAGCAGCCGCCGCCGCCGCGCAGCAGCTGAGAGGCCTGAAAGCCACACACAGCCAAACCCTAGGGCCCCAAACCCTAAACCCTAGGCCCCAAACCCTAAACCCCAGGCCCCAAACCCTCACCCTGAGCCTGTGAGAAGACTCGTGCTTTTCACGCGCACAGGGTTTGGGGGCAAAGCTGGGGCTTTGGGACTGCGGGCTCCCCCCTGGGGGCCCCAAAAGGTACCTTTTGAAAGCCCCAGAAGATAAGAACTCACCTACACTCATGGGGCCCCCTGGGGGCCCCTCTTGGGGGCCCCTCGGGTCCAGCTGGAGGTCAAAGAGCTCAGGGTCCAGCAGCTCCCTGTACCTGACCATGGCGCTGAGGATTGCCCAGCGAAGGATGCGGCTGCTGCCAGCAGCAGCGTCTGCTGCTGCTGCTTCTGCTGCTGCTGGCTCCTCAGAGGAGGTTGCCAGGGGCCTCAGAAGGGCCTCGTGGAGGGCCAGCTCCGGCAGCCGCAGCAGCAGCTTCCGCCGCAGCGGGGGGCCTCCGGGGGCCCCCTCAGTGGCTGCAGCTCTATGAACACCCCACAAAGGGTTCTGACCCTTCT